TACTATTGAATCAACTTTTGCAGTCATACATCATTTTCACGCAGCTCACTTCTGAGATTAACCTGCATAAACCAAACATTTGCTCAAACAACACTTTCTACACATCTAAAACCTACAAACAGCAAATTATTGAATTCTAGGTACTTAACCAAACATTTTCAAACCACAAGCCTATAAACATACCAATTGTTTATGGACATTTTTATAACGCGGATGCAGGTAGGCAGCGTCTCGTATATATCGATCTAGCCATATAATGTCGAAACCACAAGCCTACTGCAGCTCTATCTATATCGGTGGGAGGTAGATACTTTATACTTCCTGTGATCAAACGGTCCAACGCCAAGCATACGAGAGGACCACAATCCCCTCTGGGTCCTTTCGTTTGTTGTGGTGCGGTCGTCTCTGCTAACTGTAATATTGAGCTTCTTTGGCTTCTTGTTTCCAGAACGAGTCCAATAATTTATCGCATCCAAGTATTTAGCCAAATAAGAGCTCCATCCCTTAATAATATCTCTTAAATCAGCCAATGATATGTAATTTATCATGCTGTCATATACTATTGCCTTAAGGGATGGGATCTGAAGCTCGACGAGAAGCCAATGGTTACGTTCCAAAACAGGGATAAACACCTGCAATCATAAGTAATAATTCATTCATTTGCGCACTTATTTATGAATACATTTAAACTCAATCTAAAATAAACACTAACCTTATCGACCTCCCACCATGCAGGATAAAGTTTAGCTTGTCCATTGCCCAACGCAAAAGATTCATCTCGTTGATTCTTCAAGTGAACTGCGTTAAAAGCCGTCGGCATTATTGTATACCGTGTATTTCTTTTATTTTCCTTAAGTTTCCTAATTATTAGTAGACGTGACACCCACGCATCGATATGCTGTTTTACAAAAAAATACATATATTAGTGAATTACATTAATTTTTAAACAAATTAATCAAATGAAAATATAAGAAAAATATAAGACTTACCCCTCCATCGAAATAGCCATTGTCTTCGACCCCTAATAATACGCCCCACCAAGACCGATCAAGCAACAAATAGATATCATCATTGAGCTTGCATATGTCAGTGAAACACCCCTGGCTTCGCTCGTGTAGATAAAAATCAACTGCGGTCTTAGCCCAAAGGGTGTTATCCAGAATTGTGTCCGGTAGTTGTTTCCTCTCCTCTTCAGATACCGGTATGGTACTGGCCGGTAACTCATACGAGAGCCAACTTGAATCTATCATGTCCGGCACGTCAGAGGGTTTCTCAAGAATCCTACATATGACGCCATGTGAATCGGGCTCTTGAATGGTGGGAGGGACCTCTTCAACGATGACAGTGGCCTCTTGAACGGTGGGAGGGGACTCTCGAGGAATTATAGGGGCCTCTTCAACGATAGGAGTGGACTCTTGAGGGATGATAGGCGAGTCGGGCTTCTTCTTGCGGTGTCTTCGCACTATTGGGGTATACGGAGACTTAATAGCACGTGCACGCCGTCTGATGCGTGAACTCTGTCGTGCAAGAAAAACCCGACGTAAAGCATCCACCTTATCGGTCCGCTAAATAAAATACAAATATCAGTAAATAAACAGACATGATATTTAAACAGTGAAAACAAAGATAAATATATTTCAAACTTTCAACCACAAGACAAAACAAAGACAAATACTAACTTCACAGTGTTAAAGTAAAAAGTTTAGCAGTTTTGGCAGCAACCGAATAAATTTACCAAGCAATCTAAGTGAAATGGTTAATTTAAGTGAAATTACGAGTAAATTTATCATCAAGTTAAATATGGAAAATCTTAAACTTACCTCGTTGCGTAGAGTATGAACCTCATTCTGCAACGATACTACCATCTCACGTAGAGCGGCAACCTCACCACGTAAAGTAGACACCTCCACACGCCATGCACCATCGTTATCGCGTAGAGTACCGATCTCCTCACGCAAGGCATTGACCTCATCACGTAACTCCCTTGACTCATCCCGTGGAGGTGGAGAACAGGGAGATAGAAGTCGTGGCATCTTTGTCGGTCGCCTATCATGAGGTGATGGTGGAGAGAGACTCGATGATGTGACGGGATAGGTGATGGCTCTCGTTGTAGAGGTGTATAGTCGGGTCGATCAGGTGATGGCTCTGGGTGAGGTGATGGCTCTCGAAGTGGAGGAAGTGGAGGCTGCTCATCATTCGTGCCATCAAAAAACGATGACTAGCTTGCCACCAATCAGTGGCAAGCTCAGCCTCCGTGGGTGTCAGTCTCATTAATGGAGTGTTGGCCTCCTAATAATATAAAACTAAAACAAAGTTAAACGTCTACTATTAATAACTTGTTTATATATGATAGTATTTGTGTTAACTTACATTATTTATTGTCGCATATGGTATTAAGTCTTCCCAATCCAACATACGTTTCCTCTTCCAGGAAATAGCCCTAGGAATATCATCTGAGGATTTTAATGCATATGTCCGCATGCTGGGGAAAGCCTCGAATATCCAAATCTACAAACAATATAATAACAAACATTAGTAATTGTTAAATAATTAATTATATTTTGAAAACATTATATAGAAATTCTTACCTTAAAGGCCCAAACAAAGCCTGACAAAGTGTATTTCGACCCATCGCCCCGCAAACTTTTGCGGTCATCAAAGGCAGACGACAACTTAGTCCAGGTAGCTTTCCATATATACGAACCCCACGGAAACAGATTCCATGCATTTAGGTCCTCTACCAATAATATTAGCTCCTGAGGAATAGGTTGTCTGGCCTCTCTGCCTAGAAAGCCGGCATACAAAAGTAGTAGAAGGCATACTCGGACAACATCGACGTCATTCATCCGAGTAAAACCATCTTTCTTATTAAACAATTTCTTCATGTCGTCGACGTGTAAGTTCGGCTTCTCTATTGACTCATCAGGAAAAACCCTGGATAACCATGATGGGCGGGTGATATGACGAGTGTACCGGCCTACATCATCGTGTCCGAATCGTAGACCAGTGATTAAGCAGAACTCCTTCCGCCCAAAACAAGTATACGCCGGTGGAAAATGAAACCATATCTCTTCCTCACCACGTTGTATACTGTCAGGTAGATCGCTAGTCATGGTCTGAAGCCACAAATGGGTCAAACTAGCATCTCCACCCGGATGCTGTACTCTCAGCCATGGCCCGAAGCAGGTTTCTTCAAACAATTTTCTTTGTGCAGGTGAAAGCTTCGAAGCAATTGTAGTGGCTAGGCTAACTTTATTCCTTAATGTCAATGAAGCCGAAAAAAATTTCTACAAAAAAACAATAAACATACCAAGTTAGATATACCAAAAATTACACTGTCAAGATATACCAAAAACAAAACAATAAACATAAATAGTAGTTTATTCTTGAAACTAAAATTTGCAACACTGTTTCTGTCTTTTGGTTGAAATGAAAATCGCAACGAGATAATGAGAATCGCAACGCGGAAATGACTATCGCAACGAGAGAATCGCAACGCGAAATGACTATCGCGACCAGACAATCGCAACGCGAAATGAAAATCGCAACCGCGAAATTAAAATCACAACGCGAAATGAAAATCGCAACGCGAAATGAAAATCGCAACGCGAAATGAAAATCGCAACGCGAAATGAAAATCGCAATGCGAAATGAAAATCGCAATGCGATTTTGGTTTCGCGTTGCGATTTTTATTCGCGTTGCGATTATCTCGTTGCGATAGTCATTTCCGCGTTGCGATTCTCATTCTCGAAACTATTCTTCTTCTGCATTACTTCAACCAAAAGACAAAGCAAAGACAAATACTAACTTCACAGGCTAAACAGTTTAGCAGTATTGGCAGCAATCGAATGAATTTAATAAGAAATCTAAGTGAAATGGTTAATCTATTATTGAAATTACCAGTAAACTTATCATCAATCTCAATATGAAAAACCTAAAATAATGCAAAAATTTCAAAATAAAAATAAAAAAAACTAACCCTCGGAGGTTGATTTTCCATTTCTGAATGATTGTGAGGGATTTTTGACTGTGAATGGTTGTGAGGGATTTCGCCGGCGATGGGGACGGAAATCTTCGGAGATGGGGACGGATTTCGCCGTAGAGAGTGAGAGATGGAGATGGGACTGAGTGATGTGTGTTTGGGTTTGAGGTTATGAGTTGCGTGCGATTACTGTGGACGGTTCATTTTCCGATTTATTAAGAAAAAATACGTGTTTGGAATTTGAAAAAAAAAACGCGTTAATACGAATGGCGCTAAGTAAATCGCGTTGCGAAAGTCAGTATCGCGTTGCGAAAGTAAGTATCTCGTTGCGATTTTTTATTATCGCATTGCGATAGTCAGTATCGCATTGCGATTTTCCCAATTCGCGTTGCGATTTACTTATTCGCATTGCGAATTTCCCAATTCGCGTTGCGATTTACTTATTCGCATTGCGAATTGGGAAAATCGCAACGATACTGTAGACCATCGCAACGCGATTTTCAACTATCGCATTGCGAAAATGCAACGCGAATTTGCGATAATGGAGATCGCGTTGCGAATTAGCGATCGCATTGCGATTTTGTTGGTCATTTTGGCAAATCCGGAAAAAGTTAGTTAAAATCGTATATTATATGAGATTTTTGGTCACTGAGGTTATTTTCTCTTGAAATAAATGTTTTCAAAGTCTAGTTTTTTTAAAAAATATTCAAATTTTAAATTATCAGAAATCCATAGTGTCACTTAATAGTAAAATTTAATGATCATTATGTCTCGAACATTTAAATTAATAATATTTATAACGTTAAACACGTAATAATTTTAAAAAAATAAATTAAATACATATTTATGAAAAACGATATATTTGGACTCTTATCTTATAATTAAGCCCAATATTAATATATTGGTAACGTAAATCCCAATTCTGGATGATATCAAGCAACGAAAGCATAAACTTGGTTTGTGGCTTTAATTCAATTTATTATAATGAAAGCTAGAAAAACTCCAGCCGCCCAAAACTGGAGAAGCGAAGTGAAAGAGAGAGCAGATCAAATCATCAAACGATGGGCGCATGTTACAAAGCACAGATTACCCATCTCCTTTCTTCACCCAATCCGCACGCTAAAACCCTAAAACCTCCATTGTTGAACCCTGCAACCTCCACTACCACCACCACCACCAGGCGCTTCCTCCTCTTTTCCCTTTCCAGCAGCTACAGTCTTGCCTGCCTTGGCGCCGGTAAATTACTTCAGTCGGGTTTAATGGACGCTTTGGCTTCGAGTTTTGATCCGGTGAGCCAGGCTGAGAAAGACGCCAGCGCCGCCGTCAGTCGCAGAGTATCTGAAGCGGTGGAATTGTTGGAGAGAGGGAAGGAGTTGCAGGCTCAGGGTGACTTCCCCAAAGCCTCTTCTCTTCTTTACTTCGGTACGTACTTTAATCCATCCTTTATCACTTGGCTCTGTCTATTTACTTTTAGTTACGGTGTAAATGGATACTTGAACAAAATAAGATAGAGTTAGTATTTGTTTATTTATTTTTTAAGATAAATTACGTATTTAATATCTAAATTATCAGTTTTAATTTATTTTAATATTTAAATTTTTAATTTTTTCAAAATTATAACTAATGTTTAATTTTTGTTTCATTTTAGTACCTAACTGTTAAAACATTTAATATCTAAATTATTAATTTTGATCAGTTTTAGTATCTAAATTTTTAATTTCTTTTTAAAATTTAAGTATTAAAATGAAATAAAAATTAAATTTTATGTATGGTTTTAAAAAAATTAAAAGTTTAGGTATTAAAACAGATAAATTGATAATTTAGATATTAAACATATAATTTATCTTATTTTTTAAAATATTCATGTTTAGTTTTAGCTCGTTTAAATTTTTATCATATATTTGTATTTGATTATTTATTTTTTAAATATATTTGTGTTTGATTCGTTTAATATTTGTAAATATGTTCATTCATATGTTCGTCAACATATTTATTCAATATTAACTTCTTCATTTATATGGTTCAAGTAACCTCTACAACCAATACACTCTTATTCTTATTTTATTTGTAAGTCAAAGAGAAATAATAAAATTATGTCATTAATCCTTAAATTCTTTAGGTTCCACAGTTAAAACTCTAAAATTCATCTTGTATTTAATTTGGTTCCTACCTTCATCATATTTAAAATGTAGAAAAATAAAAGGAAAAGAAGAATTATGTAAACAAACTTCTAAACGAGTCAATAAATAAGTTTTTGTCTGTAAACATAAATGAACTACACACTTCTGTTCGTGTTCATTCATTTATTAAATAAATATAAAAATTTTATTTATGCTCTCATTTATTTATATTAATAAACGAACTTTATACAAATAATTCATTGCTATATTCATTTACACTTATTTTTAACAGTTCATCGAATGCTAGCTTAGTTGTTTTGATTCGATTACACAGAGTCTCTGTTTTTCAGGTGGTTGAAAATTATAAAGATTTTGCATTCTCGGACTATGCAAGAGTAGGGAGGGCATTGGCCTTATACGAGGTTGGGGACAGAGATGAAGCCATTGCAGAGATGGAGGATGTTTCAATATCCCTAAAGGGATATCCAGGTACCATCCGAGTAGCATCGGAGATTTACGAATTGTCGAGGGATCGCCGACTCTTTCGAGGGAAGTTTGTGTAGTACACGATCCCTCGACAATAAACACTTTGGGTTGCATGTTTTTGATCATGTTACAAGTTTGGTTTGGTTTGTGCAGAAGTACATGCAGCTCTTGCCGCGGCCTTGTACACCGACAAACACGCGCCGCTGCTCGCAGAAAATCAATTCGCGATCGCGACTCTGCTCGATCCTCACTTCACAGACCTATCGTACGTGATTGAAACCAAGCATTGGCCTCCCAGCTTGGTTAGTTCTTTGCAACATTTCATCACACTTTCATAGAGAATTTGTCATACAGAACATTTGTAATATGATCAGTTGATATATGCATATACAATCAGTTGATGCTTTCCCAGCCATGCTCTTGCCACCCTTGTTAGCCTAGTTAAAATGTATTGCAAATATATGATAATTATATGAATAAACTACACATTTAGTACCTACACTATCAGTTTTGGTCTATTTTAGTACTTAAAACTTTCAATTTTGTCAAAAACATACCTAAAGTTTAGTTTTTATTTTATTTTAGTACCTCAACGTTAAAAACTTAATGCATTTAGTATCTAACCTATTAGTTTTTGCAAACATTTATGTAGAATTTGGTCCCGATCTTAGCAGCTGATACACAAGATCGATAATGGCCTGTTTAAAGGAATTTCTGTAAAGCAGAGGCAAAAACTTGTATGCTCTGTTTAAAGGAACTTCTGTAAAGCAGAGGCAAAAACTTGTGTACTCCTACGTGCTTGTGAGTTTTCCTTAAAATTATAAAATTATAGGTGATAAAAATAAATTATCAATAAAAAATGTATAAAAAAATTAAAATAAATTATAATTTAAAATTTTATGAGGCCACCGTCCTACCACCCCTTCAATCTATCCCTGCATGTATATCTTTACATTCACTAGTTTACATTTTGGGTAAAGTACAAATTTGGTAGCTTAACTTTACATCCTTTTCTATTCCACTCAGTGTACTTTGAATATTTTCAATTTCTTCATTGAACTTAATGTATTAGGTCTTTTGGTCACTCAGTCGTTTCTTCACTAACGGCATTATGATATGGCTTTTTTTACCCCAAAAAATCCAATGCATGCAAGTTTAGTGATTAAATTGGAAAAAGTAAAAGTATAACGAGTGAAATAGGATAGAAAGTAAAATTCAGTGATTAAATTTATTATTTACTCATTAAAAATAAAAAAGCCACAACAAAACACTTTAGTAAAGAAACAAATGAATGAACAAAAAAACCTAATGTATTAAGTTCAGTGATAAAATTGAAAATATTTTAAATATAGTGAGTAAAATATGAGAGAGAATAAAGTTTAATTACCAAATTTATAATTTATTCTTAAATTTTCAATGTACTAATATAGTATGCAAGTCCCATCAAATCTCAGTTTAACCCATAAACACATGTACTCGAGAGTTAGGAGTATATTTGGTTATTTTTTTTTTATTAAAAAAATTGACTTAATTTAAAGATAAAACATCTCAAATTTGAACTAACGAGATTAGTTTAAGTGGTAAGAAGTTTGATATCGCTTAAGTAAGATCTCAGGTTCGAGTCCTTATGAATACAGAAAATTCATACTAAAATATTCACCCACTAAAACTACATATACGACCTGAGTCGGCGTACTCCAATCAAGACTAAATCTTGAAACTGGAGGAAAAAAATCATCTCAAATTTAAAATGCATGACATTGAATATTATTTTAATGAATTAAAGTCCACACTCTTCATACTTGTATCTTCGGATTCCATCACTCTCGTTGTAGGTATAATCTTTGTTTATTGCAATTTGCAAAAATATTTAAGTTTAAATAACGGTAATTAAGGCTTTTTGGCTCTCCTTTTCTCACCGGCTTAGATTAGACCTAATTAATTAATTAATGCTAGCTAGGGCCTCATGCCTCAACAATGCTTAATTTAATCCCATTATGACTCACTATGTCAAAAAAGTTGAAAGCAAATTTGAAATTATGAAGGGGAAAATGTGTATTTTCTATCAAGTAGATGGCAATTTAATCTAAAACTGATAGGTTTTGACCCGATTCGATAAGGTTAATTTTTTAAAAAAAAACTTAAGTTCGGGTTGGTTATACTTTTTAAGGGAGTGAGGTTGGTCGGGTTGAATTCGAGTGGAGGGTTAAAAATCTAATCCGACCCGACTTAGAGATAATGTATTTTTTTAATATATACTTTTTTAATTAAATTCTTATTTTATACATGATCGGATCGAATTTATACTCTAAAAATTTGAGTCGGGTCAAAGTCGGGTGGAGGATATATAGTTTTCAAGTTGGGTCAAATAGGATTAGGTTCGGGTGGATGATATATAGTTTTCAGGTCGGATTGAGTTGACTAAAAACTTGATCAGACCCGACCCACTGTTATCCCTAGTATCAAGTAAAATGTGTGATTGGGGATGGTATTGGATTCAAATCTAATAGGTTCTGACTCGATTTGATCTTATAGGTCGAGGTTTTTTAGAATTTGAAATTGAATCGAGTCAGATTTAGTCTAAAAATATATTATATGAGTTAATTCGAGATGATAGTATAATTATCTCTTTATATATTTAAGTATAATTATAACAATACCTCTCTTTCTATATATATTTTTAATTAGGTCATTATTTTATATAAATATTGTGTTAGATCAAGTAAGGTTTTTACCCTAAAATTAAGTCGAGTGAAGTTACCTTAAACAACGACCCAATAACAGATAAAGAAATATAATACTCAACTCCAATTTAAATCAACCGAAAATTAATTCAACTCGACTCGATTTACACTCATCCATGTTTACGACTATGTATTTCGTCAAAAAATTAATAACACAATTAAAGGTTCAACCTTCATTTGTGAAAATAGAACATATTAAAATGAAAAGAATTAACCACTAATATTAATGAATATATTAATATTAGAAGAAGAAGAAACATAACTTAATTATTGGAGTTGAAAGAAATTTTTTAATTTATTGTCTCCATCAAACACATTCCTCAATTTTAAAATGATTTTAATTAATAAGAGTAACAATTAAGAAGTGGCTTTATTTGGGGTTCAAATAAAGGGATCTTAGACTATATATTTATTATTATTATATATATATATATTATATTATATTATATATATATATTATATTATATTATATTATATATATTATATTATATTATATATTATATTATATTATATTATATTATATTATATTATATTATATATATATATTATATTATATATATTATATTATATTATATTATATTATATTATATTAGTAGTGTACCCAATTGGTCAAAAGTGCATTTTCCATGGATAGAATGTTGGACGGTCGACTTTGACAACAATTCTCACCAATCTAGTTTCTTCCTTATCACATCCCCCACAATAATTTCAACTTTAAACATGTTGAAATATGCTTTCGGCCAGACCCAAATCCTGTGGGGAAATTTTAAAATCTTTTGGTTTTACATAAATTTAATTGAAAAAATATTTTTTTAATGATTTATATTATTATAAAATAATATATGCGCCAACAAATGTTGGTATAAATTATTGAGATTCAATAATTTAAGCTTATAAGGCCAAGTTCGAATTTTACCATTGTCACTCTTGGTGGACAATCTATAGATTCTTATGTAAATCTCAATTGACTCTTAGGTATGTCTTGACCTAAACTTTTTTATACCAATAATAATAATATATGTGTCAACGAATGTTGGTATAAATGGTTGAGATTTAAGAATTTGATCTTGTAAGGTCAGGTTCAAATCGTACCATTGTCACTTTTGATGGACAATCTGTAGATTATTATGTAAATCCTAATGGGACCATTGACCTAAACTTTTTTATACCAATAATACTAATGATAATATTTGTTAATAATTTCAGTTGCTTAAACCTAAAATCTTAAAATAAAATAACATTTTCATTAATCATTAAATTCATTCAATAAATTCAAATATATTTCACTGTTGGTTTAATTGTATTAAGCAAATGTAGGAAGTGAGCAAATTAAATAATAATAAGTTATTAATTATAAACTTAAATAAATTTAATTTTAAAATTGAGTAAATTACATGTTTAGTATTTAAATTATCAATTTTAGTTCGTTTTAGTACCTAAATTTTTAATTTTTCAAAACAATACCTAACGTTTAATTTTTAATTCATTTTAGTACATCGCTACTGAAAACTTAGCCGACGAGCTCACCGGCCGCAACGTCTATAGTCGTCCGTCGTCGCATTCGTCTTTCGATGAAGCTCAAACTTTCCAGCATGCACCTTTTCGACCCATGAACATGATTTTGTCCCCCGTTTCACCGAAAAATACCTCAATCTCCCCAAATCGATGATGGACTCCTTGACTTCTTCATCCTCTGATATCCGTCGTCAACCGTCCGATAGGCCTAAAACTAGACTATGTTGGTCAACTCGTCATTCTCTAGTGGTCTACCATTCGATTTGTTTTTTTGTCCATGGAACTATGTTTCATCAGCCCATCTGTTAAGTTTTTAACGACCAACACTAAAATGAAATAAAACTAAATGTTACGTATAATTTTGAAAAAAATTAAAAATTTAAGTACTAAAACAAACTAAAACTAATAGTTTATATATTGAATGCGTAGTTTACTCTTTAAAATTTTATGATAATTTATTATCATATGATTCACTACGTTTAGTGCATAAAATTATGTGATTGATAATTTTCTAAAATATAATTTTATTTTTTAAAATAAAATGTAAAGAAAGGCAGAAATGAATACATGACTGCATCATTACTCTCATCACTAAACAAAAGAGATCTTTACTCTCTCTTTTTCAACCCCCCTATACCAAAAATTATTTTATGGTCCAATTTATCACATCATCCATAATTTAATAAATCATTTTCATTGATTTTAAAATAATTTTTAAATAATTGTTCTCTATTTATTTATATATATAAAATGAAAATTTATCTTAAAAAACATTAAAATCATAGATGATATGATAAATCGGGTCTATCTAATAATTCTTCTTCCTTTACAAAATCTTCCCTCTTTGCCCCTCATGCCTCCTCCCATCTTTCTCTCTTTCATAACCCCAAGATCGCATTCATATATTATATGGTAAAAAAAATTCGTCCTTTTTTAAAAATCTCAAATAATTTGAATATTTTTCATCTTTTTATTTATAATATATTTTTATTCTCTAAAATTTTATAAATTTACTCGCTCGTACAATTGAAGAGAGATGCATAGCATGGGAGTTTTCACTAAGATATTCCTCCTCTACTGCCTCTTATTCTTTCCAAGTGATGCAAGGAAGGTTGAGATTAGCAGTGACCAGAAGGACATCACCACTCCATTAACAACAGTGCCTACAATAACACCCACAACTCCTGCCTCGTCCACTCCGGTGTTGAACCCTAATTCGGACCCGGACTCGAAATCTCCGGTGACCATGACACCGATGACGGTCCCCAAGAATCCAGTACCTGCCGGGGGAAGCTGGTGTGTGTCTAGCCAAAGTGCATCGGAAACTGCATTACAGGTGGCTTTAGACTACGCATGCGGCCATGGAGGAGCTGACTGTGGGCCGATTCAGGCAGGTGGAAGCTGTTATTATCCCAACACTGTTCGTGCCCATGCTTCTTTTGCATTCAACAGCTATTTTCAGAATAATCCGATTCCTAGTAGCTGTAATTTTGGAGGAACTGCTGTTACTACCGCCACTGATCCAAGTAAGTTTGCCATCTTTTACGAGCTGGGAATTAAATAACGGTTGCGATATTGTTTTCGATTGTGTTGCGTTTATTGCAATTGCGGCAATAAACAGATATCGCGATTGTTAAATAACCATTTCAGAATATACTTTTACTACTATATCACGAATGCTATTCTAGTAACGATCCGTTATTTATATCCTACTTTAGAGTCTCGAGTAGAGATGTTCATCAGCTTGACTATAACTCGAATTTTGATTTAGCTTTAGCTTGAATTAGTACACACAATTTATTTTAATTTCTTTTCAATTTAGTTTGTAAAAGAATAAAGGATAAATTATGTATTTAGTCATTTAAATATTCTTGTGGTTCCATTTTGGTCACCCAACATTTTTTTAATCACGCTAAAACTTATTTTTTTTCATCCATTGTTAAAAATTAAATAGAACTACTGGCATGAGATTTTTTTAAATGATGACATGATATTACCTTATGATGATGACACATCAATATCACTTACTTTTTTAACGATTAATGACCAAAATAGAATAAAAGCATAAGCTTAAGTATAATTTTATAAAAATAATTGGGTGACCAAAATGAAACCACATGAATATTTAGGTGACTAAATATGTAATTTATCCAGAAAAAGAAAAACAAAATCATGGGTAAATTACATATTTAGTACCTAAACTATCAGTTTTGGTCCATTTTAGTACCTAAAATTTCAATTTTTTTCAAATCATACATAATGCTTAGTTTTTGTTTCAATTTAATACCCGCCTTTAAAATTTTCACAAATTAGCACCTAAACTATCAATTTCTGTTATCCAAACTTCACTTTTTTTCCAAAGTTAACGTTAAATTTTAAATGAATTACTAAAATGAAACAAAAACTAAGCTTTATGTATGATTTTAAAAAAAATGAAAATTTAGATACTAAAACGAATCAAAATTGATAGTTTAGTCATTAAACGCGTAATTTACCCTAAAATCATCCGCAGTTCATGATTTTATCTGAATCAATTTCAACTATTGACAACTTTGTTTACACTATAGAGATATCTTTATTTACCTGATTAATTAATTCCTATTTTTTTTTTCTAAAACATATTAATATTTTAAAAAATTAATAATAAAATTATAAAATTATCACATGAAAATATCTGACGTGATATAATTTAGTGATTGCTTCAAGTTTGGGTATTGATTTCAGGTAGAGGGACATGTCAGTACCAATCCACAAGGTAAACTTTTGCTATCCCTTCATTTTCAAAAACTTTTACTATCAAAACTTTTAATTTTTTAAGATTATACCTAATATTTAGTTTTCATTTTATTTTAGTACTTGTTAAAAACTCAACGCGTTTAGTACTTAAACTATCAATTTTGGTTGTTTTAGTACCTAAACTTTCCATTTTTTCAAAATTTAACGTTAAATTTTGAACGGTGACTAAAATGAAACAAAAAGTAAAGCTTTTTAATGATGTGTACTAAAATAAAATAAAAACTAAACTTTAGGTATGATTTTGAAAAAATTGAAAGTTTAGGTACTAAAATTGATCAAAACTGATAGTTTAGATCTTGATATCCTAATTTATCCTTATTTTTTCATCTAATTAACGATGAAAATTGCAGCACAACTTCTTCAATCTTGGACATCAACACTGCAAATGGTTCAAATGTATTTGGTGCAGTGCCTTCACGCCCATCCCCATCAGCTGCATCCACCACCAGATCAAATCACATGCAATCTTTCTTCATCACCATGCCATGCTTCATTTTGCCCTTGGCTAGATACTACCAATGAAATCCATGTTACTTTAGTTTTTTTTTTTTTTTCATTTTGAATGTATGTTATGTTTGAACATAGGTATAGTCTTATTAATATATGTAAAAATAATATATATATATACATCATGTGTCACGTTTCATTGTGAAGAAAAATGTGAGTTATCTATAAGAATAACAAAGTGTATTAATTCGATTTCAAAAAAATATATGAGATTATGTAGATTAAGAATAATGGCATTATGAATCCTATCAAACATTTAGGAAAAAAAATAATATCTCACAACAAGTGATATTAAAATGATTGTTTGATTTCACGTCGAACATTTTAACAGATAAGGTAAACATGATGTGATAAAAAAAAGTAAATGAATTTACTAAAATTATCCCACGTGATAACCTATCAATTTTGGTCCATTTTAGTATCAAAACTTTTAAATTTTTCAAAACATAATGTTTCTTTTTTTATTATTATTAATATGGGATAAGTACAAGATAATATCTGTTCAAAAATAACTCTCAACCTTTCAACATTGAACGCTCACACCCATGACATCTATGGTGTTCGAAGCCGAATCCTCAAAGAATAACAACAATTCCTTTACCAAAAGATATTAAAATGAAACAAAAGCTAAAATTTTTAACGGCGAGTACTAAAATGAAACAAAAATCAAACTTTAGGTATGATTTTGAAAATAATTGAAAGTTTGAGTACTAAAATATATCAAAATTGTTTAGGTACTAACACGTAATTTACCCTAATTGTTTCATTTTTGCAATTGCATTTGTATTTTCCTTTCAATTTAACCCTTCTATTTTAATTTACTTCCAATTAAAGGCTTAACAGATGACTGGATGGTCCACGCCTTTCTAACGAGTAACACACGGCCATTTGAGATATGCACTCGTAGAACAATAGCCGAAAAATATGTACGCCGTGTACAAAAAAGTGTATCTAATACCCTGTAACGATAAAAAAAAATTTTAAAAAAAACATACTTGGAACTGGCATCTAACACTCCATGCAAGGTCCATGGGCTGTTTTGATGAATTAACTCTAGTTTAAAACAAGCTCACCTTAGAAGCATAGTTTGTAGAAACCACTCGAAAAAGATCAGGGAGGATAGAATATGAATGGTTAGCTTTGACGAAAGTGGTGAGAATACATTAGTAGATGGGGGATTGCAACATGTCGGGTTAGGATTAAATTTTTTATCAACTCAATTCGATCTAATCCGAAAAATATGTACGCCGTGTACAAAAAAGTGTATCTAATACCCTGTAACGAAAAAAAAATTAAAAAAAACATACTTGGAACTGGCATCTAACACTCCATGCAAGGTCCATTGGCTGTTTTGATGAATTAACTCTAGTTTAAAACAAGCTCACCTTAGAAGCATAGTTTGTAGAAACCACTCAGAAAAAGATCAGGGAGGATAGAATATGAATGGTTAGCTTTGACGAAAGTGGTGAGAATACATTAGTAGATGGGGGATTGCACATGTCGGGTTAAGATTAAATTTTTTATCAACCCAATTCGATCTAATCTGAAAATATGTATTCTCCACTCGAACCCGATCTGACCCAAAAAATATATATTTTCCACCAAACTCCAACCCAATCCAAATTTTTAAAATATAAATCCGATCCAACCCAACGCGATATAAAATAAAGATTTAATTAAAAAATAATATATATTTTTAAAAAAATTATATTATTATCCTCAGGTCAGATTAGAGTTTTTTCACCTTCTATTAAAACACTACCCGAACTCAATTTTTTTTTAAAAAAATCAACCCTATAAGATCAGGTCGGAACCCATCAATTTTAGGTTAAATTACAATCCCCAAGTAGACGACAAAAGTGACCTTTTAGTGATAACAACCAGCCTCACCAACATAAGGTGAAGAGGATGTTGATGGATAGCGGCAACACGATGGAGGAGTTGCACTAGGAAGCTTTCCATAGGATCGGGGTAAAGAGAAGCAACCATTGAGAAAAGATGGTCCACATCAACCTACTGAAATCATTCTATCTACGTTTTTACAAGGTCCATGCCCTTCGAACTAAATAATGCCGCACCTGGTAAAGCGGATTTTTGAAAAAGAAAACAATTTGGGAGGTCGGTATAGGTATATGCGGCCGACATGCTGGTGAAATGCACTTCCATATTAAGTTCTATACGCATCAGTTTCACATCTGCATAGTAAATGTAATAAAACTTGAATCTGAAAAAAAAAACAGATCAGATATCAAAAAGTACCTAAATCCACATAAAATATGCCACAGCATCCCGGTTAGGCTTCGTCAATCACACCATTCATATGCAACGATCAATCCTTGGGGGCAAGGCAATGGATGCCCATACAACTTATATTATGATTACCCTTAGAATATCGATAATAACATTCACACAACTTTGTAATCCCCTGTAATCAACTTTGTCCTCTGTGAGAACTTGGGAGCAGCTCCACCTCTCAAAGGAATGATGTTCACAACCTGCACCAATCTGTCTCTTAAGTAAAATATATTACAGGGTTTAGCAATGCAATTTAGCCGACGGAGAGGCATAAATTACTGAAAAATATGATCCAACTACAAGATAAAATCGACAAAAGAAAAAGTAAAATGGCATATCATACCTTCAGGTCACTGTATGTACTAGTGGCTGAAAATTCGACAGAGATGGGGAAGAACGCTGATGAGTTGGCAGGAGGCACCACAAACTCCATAGATCCACTATCAATAAGTCGGTAGAATCATTTACTTATAAGTCAATAATATATTTAAATGATTTGACAATTGAAGTTTTGCAGTGTTGGAAAAATAAATGGACATACCTGCGGTTCGTGTCATCAATGAGAAGTATGGACCATTCTAAGACGGAATTCCTGGAGTCATGCCTACATAACAAACAAGAAAATGTAAAAAGTTCAAACTACACATTTTTATGTTACAAGTTACTACAGTAATTTCACGCTACACAGTTTGTTAGTTACATATCATGAAGAAAATCCAAAATGATCACGATTCACAACATTTTGTAGAGAACCATCTTGAAATCATTTCCATTTACCTCCATTCACCATCAATCTGCCTAACATTTGGTGCCTCCCTAAGAGCAGGAAGAGGCACAGAAATAACAACATTTCGGAGATCAAACATGGTTGAAGCTTCATACTCGATGCTGACATATGTTTCATTTCCAGAAACCGAAGGCCAGCAGTTAACTGTGACACACACAAAAATCAACCATTAAAGTAAACAATAGCTGTTACACACCAAGAATAAACAAGCACTAGGTCCGAAACCCACTGGTCAATGGCACCATTGACTCATCTGCACTTTGCATTCTCCACTTCAAAAGACCAACACCAGCTTCATCCCCACCTGGACCAGTGGGGAAAGGCCTATTAGGGTCCTTCAACCCCAGAATGTTCTCGTTGGAAAACAATTCCTTGTTCATGTTGGGGTGAGTCTTGAAAAGAATTCCAGGATTACCACCAGTTTCAATCTAAAAATAATGCAAGAAAGATGATTGGTAAATTCAAAGATGTAAAGGCATTAGGAGAAAGGGATATTGCACTTTAAGGACAACATGAATGTTACCTGAACTTGGATGAGTCCATCTTCCTGGTTAAGAATTTGAAGTGACAAGGTCCCTTCAACCGCAAAGCTACTCATTCCACCATCTCTTTTCAGAGTGACATTGAGTTTCTCCTCAACAGTCAAAGTAACGGGATCGGTAAGTGGAGCTGCGGTCACTCTGGACAGACCTGCCTTTGGCTGCACATCATCAACTATCAGTTCACCTTCTGCTTTCAGGGATTCCAGGAACTGGTTTGTTTTTTGTGATTTACCAAGCTGCATGCCAAAACCTTTAGGAGGAGCAGTTGCAGCAGAAGGTTGTCGGCCTAAAAACATGAGCACGATCAGAAAATGTCTGACATTTGAAGCATGTCCAGAAAAATGAGAAATATATTGGGTTTCTCATGGAATTAAGTAAAGCAAGTACAACTAATTCACTAGAAACCAGAAAAACAAATTAAAATCCAAGGCATGTGGTGGCACATAAAGTGACTAACCTTTAGGCTTGGTAGAAAAGGCATCAACATCAGTGGTTAGTGCACCAAACCCAGAACCACTTCCAAATCCACTTCCGCTGCTAGAAATGTTCAGTTCACTAAAGCCAGTTTCTATTCTTCCAGATCCCATTGACATGAACCCTCCTTTGTCACCTCTATTCTTATCAATCTACAGAAGTAACAGATAACAGAAGGAATTAATAGAGTATATACCAGAAGCGAATGATTAGTACAAGGGCCAAGAACATTTCAAAAAAAAAGAACCTTGCTCTTGTCAATCTCACTAGCTTTGCGCTTCATGACATCCTTAGTTTCATTAATCTTGCTCTGCAATACCAGCTTGTGCAACTTCTCTTCATGACTCTCCATCTCACAATATTGCTTAACCTGTGCAACAGTCGCATTTTCCTTGTGCCCAAGACAGATGATTTCATCAAAAGCAAAGATCAGTTCAAAAGCACTCTTGCCAATACCCTCCTCATCCGGAGAGTAAGAATACTCAGTTACCTAGAAAAAGTATTAAGGAATCAAGTAAATAATCTATTCTGCTTGGCTAAGACAAGTGTATTATTAAAAGGATAAACATCGTAAATGCCTCAACTAACATATACAAATGTGAAAACTAATGAGAAGCTGAAATCATCATACAGGAAAAGAAACCACTCCGGATACAAGTTAACTTCTAACTATTCAGGTAAATGAAAGAAATAAAGAAAACACAATGTAGTGTTACTGTATGATTAATTATGTTCAAAGATTAAATAAGACAAGAATGAAATCAAAGAGAAGCAAAAACATACCAGCCGGGATAGCAGTCTTAGAGTCTCCAAATCTTCAAGAATGTTGCTCTGCTTGTTTGTTACAAGGAGCAAATAAAGAGCTTCTATTGGTTGATAAACATAACGCACATTCTCTGTTTCAACATATGTGTGTTGCTTTCCCGTGCCCACCAACTTAGGAAAAGCTGCAAGAAGACCTTCAATTCTGATCCGAGTCATGTCCACAAACTGCCTGGAGAGAAGCACTGCAAATAAGAACCCAAAAAACACAGGTGAGACAACTAAATTTTGAACTTCAACAATTCAATTACAATGACATAAGGAAAACAACTACAGTGAGAAAACATGAAAATCACCTTTGCCAGACTTAGTTAAAATTGAAGCCGCAAGTACAACCTAAAACACAAACAAAAAGTAAAATCAGGCCCTGGAATCCGTACATTTTACCTTTAGTGAATGAGAAGAAAACAAAGCATAAGCAGACCAAACTAGCAGGCAGTGTGCCTACCAGAAAATGCTGGAGAACACTTAATTAAGCTACATAAGAGAGAATTTCAACAAACAACAATGATGCTAGTACAGATCAAGTTAAATAGATGAAAATGAAGCAAAAAGCAATCATTCCAGAAAACAGAACATGGATGTCGTAAGTTGTAATATCTTCAGTTTCTCCAAAATGAGTAAAAATTTCTTTTAATACATAAACATGATAAAACAACTGAACTGAAATACATTCAAAGGTATAATAATTCTACTAAAAAGAATGATTGAAAAATGAAAAAAAAGAAGAAAAAAAATGAATGATTGAAAAATGAAAATAAAGAAGAAAAAAAAGATCTTACCATTTTGGTTACCCAGACAATATCAAACTGAAGATTTTATCAGAAAACCTATTAAAAAAATAAAAATGAATTTAGGATAAGAACGAGCGAAACTTAGCAGCTGGAATCAAGATAAAATAAAACGAAAATCATATAAACGATCTATGCTACAGCAGTAAATCTGCAAACAGAACAAAACCTGATCGGAATTTCTAATCAGTAAAGAGATCAGCCACCTCAGATCTGCACATCAACATGCTTGCAAATTCAAAATATCAGTGACACAGATGGAAGAATGCTAAGCAAATCGAATGGAGAAAAAAAAGCTATAACATTCTCCATTTGGGAGTGCTTAAATAAAAAACATGAAAAGGAAACAAAAAACGGATCTGATAATTTCATCCTCTAAAATTTCCAATTGAGGTGGCGAAATTTAGAGATACGAGAAATATCTTACTTCAATCTAATCTGCTCTCTGTATCTTCTTCTTCACTGTAGCTGAGATCGATTCTTGAGACCTAAAGAGGAAGAAGGACAATATTCTTTCAACCAATATATCAGCGTTTCGGTAGATCCGTCACATTCTATTCGGACAAATTTTGGATTGTCCGGCCCGCTCATTAGTTGAGAATATACGGATGGGCAGCCCGACGGATTCGTACCCTATTGAGTCATTTTTATGTGGGTTAAATACATAAAATGATCCCCCAACTATAAGATATTACTTTTTTTAGTCCTTAAACTATTAAAAATTATAAAATAATCCTTTGTCTATAAGAAAATGCTTTATTGAATCTCCGACTATTAAAAGTTACAAAAATATCCAAACTCAAACGATCGTTAATTTTTTAATAAAAAAACGAGTTTGAAACACATGAATAGTCTAGTGATTATTTTGTAACTTTAATAGTAAGTGGACTCAACAAAATAATATTTTATAGTCAGTGAATCATTTTATAACTTTTAATAATCAATGGACTCATCAAAGCTTCACTCTACAATTAAGGGACCATTTACGTACTTTACCCTTTTTATTTTAAAAATTTGGATTCGGATTAAATCGGTTTAGAATTTTTGAAGGATGAAATAAAGTTAGGTTAGATTTTCAAATTTAGAGTGAAAAAGATTCAACCTGATCCGACATAATATTACAATTATCCTTTATATGTTTCATGATAATTATAATAATACTCTTCTTTATATTATTTTTTAATTAAATATTTATTTATTTAATAAAAAAGAATTATATATATATATATCAAGTCAGCTCGAGTGCGAAATTTCATTTAAAATATGATGCATGTATACACATGTCGGATACGGACACTTCATTACACAATGAGGTAGCAAACAACAACAATGTGGCTGGTTCTCAATAAGAGAAAAGAATAAATGAATTTCCAGAGATATTTGTTCTCTTCGAATGTTTGATCTTAATTTCTTCCCTTTGATATCGTTCACATCCTTCGTGCTAAGATCTGAGAAATGTTAGGCCTCTGCAAAATGCTTGGTGGTAGAGCAGCCTGGTCTGAATCTCCGACACAGATGGGAACCATGACAATATAGCTATGGGCATGAACACTAATAGACCCATGATTTCCTCGTATGCCCTTGCAAGCTCCATTATTAATTCCCAACATCCTGAGCTTCTCATCATTGGCCCTAATGCTTGTCCAATTGAAGCAGAAAAACCGAAAACCGAAGAAATGAGCTTTAATAAGACAAAGAAAAGGAAATCTATGAAAGATGACTGCATGAACTAACAGAATGATAAGAAAAGCTCATGCATTTATAGTTTCTTTGTTGTATTAACCGGAAAATATGCAACGCTTAAGTTTAGCAGCTGCAGTACACACTCACAAGCACAAGTAGTATTGTAATTTCGGAAGTTTAAACTTACCAGAAGAATGGCCCATCCAGTTGGCAAGAAGACAAGGATGGAAGCAAACAGATCAGATACTGTGACGCCATATTTGACAAATAGAACAGTCATGAGAGAAATAAAACTGAGGATTAGAAGTGCCTTGAAAATCCTGAACATGAGTCGAGAGTCGAGAGTACTATCTGAGAACATGTAAGAAGAGAAGAAAGTAAGAATTTGAACATGAGTCGAGAGTCGGTTCCCAATCTATATATGCTACTTAAAATAACATTAAAAAAATACCGAGGCAAGAGTAGTCAGTGCCTATGTTGCTCCCACTCTTCATTGCTTTGGAGCATGGACACATATTTGGACATGGGTATGTGGCAAGACCCTTCAAAGGGCCAACTAAATACATGGAAAATTGGAACATACACATGTTGACGTATATGAATGTCCGACACTCTAACCAGAGTCTGCGTAACATAGGCCAGTGCCCACTAGTGCATATTGACAGTCATTTAACATGAAGTTATGCTAACCGTGTCTCTCATTAGTGTTTCAACAATTAGATCACAACTTTTTCATACCTTTGAAACCAAAGTGCTGTTATCATA